TAGGCAGAAGGATTGCTGACCTGAGGAAGTTTGAGGTTGCTGGTGAGCTTCATCATACCGCTGCACTCTAGCCCGGGCAGATGAGACAAGACTCTGTCTCAAAAAAAAAGCCTCCCGAGTAGCTGGGACTACAAGACACATGCCACCATGCCCGGCTATTTTTCCTAGTTTCTGTAGAGACAGGGTCTCACTCTTGCTCAGGCTGGTCTTGAACCCCTGAGCTCAAGTGATCCTCCTGCCTTGGCCTCCCAGAGTGCTAGGATTGATTATAGGCATAAGCCACCACTCCCAGCCTATGAAAATTCTATTTGTAAGTATTTATCTCATTTATATTTGCCTAATTTACCTAATTTATTTATCTTAGCAATTTAATTAGTTTCCAGTGATCATTTTAAGTTATTTTCTGTTAACAGTTTTTACATCATGTGTAAGGGAAATTCATCTGTATAGGCAATAGTTTTCTTAGGCCAAACTAAAGTAATTTCCAGCGTGTCTTCAGCCAACCTTCGGGGCGGTGTGAGTTAGCATGGTTATGTAACCAACGGGTTAACTCCTGTTTGAACCCAGTGCTCATGCTTTCCCATGACATGTGGCCACTGATGTACTAAGCCATACATAAGTGCTCGCCGTGTTCTCAGCCATGCTCTTGCTGTGGCTGCATCCCCGAAACAATGAAGAACATGTCTCATCTGTCTGCTGATGCGCGCCTCTTCCTTCAACTCCCGGAAGCCTGCTCCGGTGCACTCGCTGGCCACAAAGCCCACTCCCCACACCCTGTGAATGAGATATATAGCACAGACTAGGAATCAAGACATAGTTGGGCCGGGTGCCGTGGCTCACGCCTGTAATCCTAGCACTCTGGGTAGGCCGAAGCGGGAGGATTGCTTGAGGTCAGTAGTTCAAGACCAGCCTAAGCAAGAGCGAGACCGTGTCTCTACTAAAAATTAGAAAAAATTAGAGCCCTGAGCTTTCCTTTTCCAGTTGTGGAGCCGTGCAGTGAGGATCTACACCCATACCTATGCTGTCCAAGGGCCCGTTGCAGTCCATGCAGAACTTGGGACACAAGAAAACAGTCACAACTGTGGCATACTGCAGGTGTGGCAATGGCCTCATCAAGGTGAACAGGTGGCCCCTGGAGATGATGAGCCCCCCATGCTGCATTACAAGCTACTGGAACCTGTTCTGCTTCTGGACAAGGAACAGTTCACTGGTGTGGATATCTGTGTCCGTGGGAAGGGTGGTGGTCACGTGGCCCATATTTATGCTGTCAGCCCATCTCCAGAGCCCTGGTGGTCTATTACCAGCAATATGTGGATGAGGCTTCCAGGAAGGAAATCAAAGACATTCTTATCCCTTAGGACTAGACTCTGCTGGTAGCTGACCCCATCACTGCGAATCCAAAAAAGTTTGGAGTCCCTGATGCCCGTGTTCACCACCAGAAATCATCCTATTGTAATGACTAGGAGTTTGGGGTAAAAGCTATGGAACTTTGTGTGCATGTGTGTGTGAGTGTACATGTTTAGATATGTTTGTGTGGTACATTGTTATTATATGTTCGTGGCTTACAATGTTCCAGACTGGTTTATAAATAAAGGAACATTCATAAATTAATTAAACAAACCCAAATGCTTTTCTTTTTTTTCTTGAGACAGAGTCTCACTTTGTTGCCCAGCTAGAGTGAGTGCCATGCGTCAGCCTAGCTCACAGCAACCTCAATCTCCTGGGCTCAGCATCCGCCTCTCTGCCCTCAGCCCTCCCAGGAGCTGGGACTACAGCCATGTGCCACCATGCCCCTCGGCTAATTTTTTCCCAAC